TATGAATGGCTGTTGCTTTACACCTACCTTTTGCGGTCACTAGCATAAATCACCACAAATTTTGCAGAATGTATAATTTCCATCTAACTGTCATTCCTTAAAAGTAACCAAGTTGTTCAGTGAGAAATTTTTTCGCTTTTAAATGCCCGTACGTAAGAACCACGCATACCTAGACTGCGTGATTTGGGAGGGGGGAGGGGTTGGAGTGGGTCTGAAAGGGTCTCATTTTAGCTGGCGGGGAATCGTGGGAGGGAGTGTCTGGTGGGTACATGCAGCGGAGACGTGGTGTGGATCTGTTGGTAGTTGCCTAGGCCACTTAAGGGAAAGGGAAATGGGTGATGCAGCTATCAATTTTCCCGCCAAAACTTTCACCCTCTCTTACGTGGGGCCCAAGCTTGCGTGGGGGTTGGTACCGCGAATCTTGGATGGCACTTGGCCAGGGAATCTATTAGCAAAATCTTGGCGCTGGAACTTGCTTGGTTGCTGAGTTGAAATACCCGAGCAGACGAACACACACACATACACACACACACAAACATACACACACAGACAGGGTCGTCGCAATATGCGTTTTTGCAATTTGCATATAGGCAAAAACGCGTGACAGTACACACACACACACACACACACACACACACACCAAACAGACATCTACTAAAATTCGGCTCGGCTTGGGCGGTGTCATACTCGACCTACAAACGCTGTTACTCCAGCTTCTCAACTAATGCTACTTCGCGACATTGCATGCCAAGCGGAGTTGACGAGACTCGCCGCGAATAACGTTAGCGGAAATGCACAGTAACAGCTGAGTCGAACCGAGCTGTGTTTTAGTAATTGCTGGCAAGTTTTAACAGTTACCCAAAATTCATGGCAATCGTTAGAGTTCGCGTAACGTTTTCGTTCTAGTTGCATCTTTTCCCCTGTGTGCAGGAAAAAAGCAAGACAATTACCACTGTGAGTGCGTATGTTAAACGCTGAAGCAACCAACATTACTGTTAACGATCTGGGCGTTTTGAATTTAGCATGAAAATGCATTTATCGGAAGCCTTATACGTGTGCTACTTGGGTTGTTTTGCAAAAGGCGTATGTAAGTCGACGCGTGTATTATTTAATATAATTTAGTACTGGTGCAAAAATGACAGCTGCTTCTTGACAACCTTATTGTAGTATTTTCCATCACAAACTGTGATGCATCGTTCCTCCAGCTTTCCATTCCCTAACACAAAAGTAGAGAACATCCAGCCTTTTAGCATTATTTGATATAATTCCTTCACATT